GCACAGCTCAAAAGCTGGCAACTGCTAAACTCTCACCAGTCTCTCTCTCAAAAGAAAAACCTCACTATTCTCAAATAAAATTTAGAACCCTTAGAAATTAAAATTCACAAGTTCTTAAGACCATGTTCTGCCCTACGCTTGAAGGAGGTTTGCAAAAGCACTGCTGAATCCAGTGCTCATGCTGGCAGTACCTGAGAGATAGGCCTGGTCCCCTTTTTCAAACACGTTGTAAGCTATTTTCTTGTTGGTGGCACTCTCGCTGACGTAGCCATCAAATCGACGCAGGGGATCCCGTTGATTTATCTGCCCTACGAGCAGCCCTGGCTCTCCTGCAGAAAAACAGGGCCAGACATGACAAGATGACAACAACAGATGGTTTATTGCCATAACCCGTTAAACCCTGTGAACATCACCACGTGCTTGCTGTACGTCAAAGATATTCAGTTGCTGAACTGAACTATCTTTAAAGGAAAGATCTATAAATAAAATTCTACGCACTATACAACAAACCATTTAAACTACAGCTCATTAGTGGGTTATTTTTTTTTGGTGGCTTTTGTTTCCTTTGTTTCTTCTTAGTTTTAAGAATCAAGCTGCTATTCAGCTTTATATAGCCTGTTTATATGTTTATATGACACATTTGATATTTTTAATAATATTCACCTGGGCGACAGGAGATGCACAGCCCCCTGGAATCACGGATCGGCTCCATTGTATCCTCATTGACCTTCACCAAACGAATGGGATAAACATTGGGCAAAATCCGACTGTTGAAACCACAGGCACCAACCTTCCAAAAGGCAGAGAGAAACAAAGGCTCAGGTGAATTGCTTAGTTAATGTATTACTATCTGGGACTTCTCTGCTCATTCTTCCCCCTCCATTTATCAGCAAACAAGCAAATTTACCCCAAATACCAGATTTACCCCATGTTTTTGTGCACGGCATCTCTAATCACCAATTTAGTTCTGTCATCCCTTGCAAGAGGACTAAGGTGCAATGTGCACAGCAGTGAGGAAAGAAAGCAAGAGGTTTTTTTTTCCCTTTGTGCTTTTCCTTAGCCTTCCCCTATAATCCCTTCTTTTCTCACCTTTCCATCCAGATTGGCAATGCTGCAGTTGCATTCGGTGGCTCCGTAGAACTCCCCGATCTGTTTAATTCGGAAGCGTTTCGTAAACTCCTCCCATATGGTGGGTCTCAACCCGTTGCCCACCGCCAGCCGCACGCAGTGCTGCGTTTCCGCCTCCCGCACCGGCTGATTCAGGAGATACCTGCAGATTTCCCCGATATATTGAATAACCTGAAGCAGCAAACACAAAAACACAGCTCGGGTTTCAGGCAATCCTCACAGCACCCGGAAAAAAAAACAGCTAAGAGGCCACTAACATCAACGTGTCAACAGGTCAGATGAGTTCAAGGAGTAGAGAAAGGATCCCTGAGTATGAATCAAAATACCCACACACAGAAAAACCCTCCTACTTGAACAGAAAGATATGGGGAAGCAGCAGTCAAGCACAAAGAAAGAATTTGGCTTGCGCAAGCTGGCAAAATTAAATCCGAGGTGAGATCCAATTATATCTATAAATACTCGGGGGAGGGAGAGGGTGGGGAGAAAGGCAAGAAAAACACCAAGAAGGAGGAAGAGGACAATGCTGACACAAATACAAGCAGATTTTTATTAGCAAAGCAAGGAAATGCAAAGAAGATTCCTCAGCAGACGCTCCTATGCAGTTAGTACAGGAAAAGCTTTCCAAATAGGGGCTGCATCTCCCTTTTTGTTTTAAGAAGCCTTGAAAAAATCACAAGATTACAATTTACGAATTGTAAATTTGCAAGTTTACAATTTAATCCTGCATTCCCAAGGTGGCACTGGCGGCTGGAACTCATTTTGGTGCCTGTACCTCCACATTTACCATGGATCTCGCTCTGGAAAGCAAAGGGAGGGCATTCAGAATGGGAGGAAAGCTGCTCCTGAGCCATGAGGAAGGAATGACGGGAACACAGGAG